GTAAATCCTACTAATTAGACAGGTCCACAAAAAAATATATGAAAGGCTCTTTTTACCAAACCTAGTATACCACATGTTTTTGGGGTCGCCGAACACGAATCTGAAGTCCGTTTTGCGCCATCACGTCTGAATTTTTTTCTAACCTTAAAAAACTTTTCGGATTTTACGTGACAGAGAAAATCCGAGGTGTTTTTTGAGGTTAGGAAAAAATCTAGACGTGATGGAGCAAAACGGACTTCAGATTCGTGTTCAGTGACCCCAAAAACATGTAAAAGACTAGGTTTGGTCAAAGGAGCCTTTCATCGATTTTTTTTTTTTGTGGGCCTTTGTTATCAGTCATTCATGACGTTAATGTATCTGGCTTTATCTACGAGACCAGATATTATCCATTCCGTTTGTAAATTGTCACAAAGGAACAGAGAACCTAATTCTGAGCATGAAGCAGCCGCCAAATATATATATATTGCGTTATCTAAGGATAAATTGATTTGAAGCTTAATTATCACAATACGGGTCATCCAATTGCTTGTTACGTTGATGCTGATTGGGGTGCTGACGCAAGTGATAGAAAGTCGTATACCGGTGGTGTTTTTATAGCAGCAGGCAGTGTTTTCTCCTGGGAATCAAAGAAGTAGCGTATTGTGGCGTTAAGTAACACAGAGGCAGTATATGTCGCAATGTCAACTGCCGCAAATGAAGCTGTATACATCAGAAAACTTCTTACTGAAATGGGTTTTCCAATTAGTGGACCTATGGTTATTAACAGTGATAATCAGGGTGCTCAGCATCTTGTTTAAAAATCCAGTTTACCATGCCCGGAGTAAACACATCGATTTAAAATACTATCACGTTCGGGACATGTATAAAAACAAAGAAATTGAACTAAATTATATATGTACAGAAGAAATGATTTCTGATATTTTGACTAAGAATTTTCAAAAAACAAAACACTGTAATTTTGGAAAAAAATATGGGTCTTTATTAAACATGTACTTGTTGTTGGTTGTGAAACATATATTGAGGAGTGTTAGAATAGTACTTGCAATATTTTCTACTATTGTATTATACAATATATAATACTAGTGAACCCGCATGGCGCCAAAACGCCAACATTTAATTAAATTTTTTAAACAGGTGAAACCCTATTCAAAAACCTCTAAAAATATTCCTAATGACCTATCTAAACCATTTCTTAGAGATGACAGGTCTCGCATGGTGTCGGTTTCACATTGTTATAAATATTTCAAGTAACTGATGAATTAAGTGGAAATTCATTTTTTAAACACATGGTAACCCTCCTAAATATAGTTCTTAAATAAAGGATTTGAAAACCATTTCCATTGATAACCATCGGTTAGTAATTCATTTAACTTATTAAATAATTTTAGTTTAGCCCTTTTAACTGGGCAACCCTCAAACACATCAAAAATGTTCTAAATTGTCAAACTAAGTATTTCTTGAAGCTCTTTCATTTGACATGCATCATTAATATTTCATATAACTTGGATATAAAATAGTTCAATTAGACTTCTCAAATAGGTGGCAACCCTATTCAAAATATTTCCAAACTACTACTTCCTAAAACCTCTTTTGTATGACACCCATACCAAATTCCTTTAATTAAAATTACATTACATTTTTTTATACATGTGGCAACCCTCGTACGTAGTTAAGTTATAAAGCCTTTTCAAAACCATTTCGATTGATATCCATATTTAATAATTGATTTAACTTTTTAATTAATTTGAGCTTAATTTCTTAATTTTCGAAAAAGTAAAACCTTCTTGAACATCCACACCCTAAGCCCTTTAATTTGGTACCTGACTTTCGAAAATCGAACGGACGGTGCGGATCTTAGGGCATTGATTAGAAAATAACTTGAGGTTAATTATTTAACAGCTGGCAACTCCTTTCGAAAAAATAAAACCAGTTTGCACATCCACAGGCCAAGCGCATTAATTTGACACCACATTTTTGAAAGTCGAACGAACGGTGCAGATCTTTTATGCTGCTCAAAAAATGACTTCGCGTATTATATATATATAGATTTCTATTTGCTTCAGTTATCTTATAAACATCAAAAAGAGAAAATTTGTTACTGAATTTTATTGAAAAAAAATTTTCTTCATTCACAAATATACGCTCGAGTTGAGAAGACGTTCAGCTTTCTTATTCTTTTGGTAACCTCTAAGTCCAGTGTAAGCAAGATCCTTTCGAACAGAAAGTTCTGTGCGTTTAAACTTAGTGCAGGGAATACAAGTAAGATTTTTTTTTAACTAATTAAAAATAAATAAGGCTCTGTTCATTACCGAATGCATTTATGTGGTCATTTCTTTGATATTCTAAGCTAATA